ATCTATATGAGTCTCTATGTTTATTCCAGGTCCATTATTTGAGTAGATGTTATGTCATCAAACGTTCCTATTTCAAGTTGTTAAATGATGTATTTGAATAGTCGAAGGAAGTTTAGAGTTAAACTTCCGACAATATGGACAGATGAAAAGCAGAGCAGGGAAGAGACAGAGAGAAGAGAAAGATCAGAAGAAAGAAGAGTAGAAGAGAAAGAGTCAGAAGAAAGCAGATGCCGATGCGCGAAAAGGTAGGAAAGTCGCGAAACACTGTGTTTTCCCAATGATTTGGGGCTCCGGAGGGTCGAAAAGTAGGCTCGCTAAAGCGGCGGGTGCGGAGCCAGCTGGCCAGATGAGAGATAAACAAATACATACACGCCGTTGTGGCGCGAAGCACATTTGGAAGTCAAAATGTTAAAAACACCAGGGGTTCGGACCACTTTTGGAAGTTGCGATGTCGAAAAAGTCCACGCCGTTGTGGCGCGAAGCACATTTCGAAGTCAAAATGCACAAAGCACACCATTCTCGGACCACTTTTGGAAGTTGAGATGTTGAAAAAGTGCGCGCCGTTGTGGCGCGAAGCACATTTCCAAGTCAAAATGTACAAAACACACCAGCTCCGGACCACTTTTGGCAGTTGAGATGTTGAAAAAGTGCACGCCGTTGTGGCGCGAAGCACATTTCCAAGTCAAAATGTACAATACACCACATGTTCGCGCCACTTTTGGAGGTTCAGATGCCGTTTTGCGTGGCAGGTGCAAGGGATTGTGCACCTCTTCAAAAGTGAGCAAAACGTGAGGGTTTTGTGGCATTTCCAAAAACGATTGCAAGCATGGGACATTTGAAGAGGATCTGCAAAGATGCATTTTCCGTGGCAGGCGCAGTACAAGAGACATGTTCATGAGAGATGTTAAGAGGTCAGGGCGCTGATTTCTTGAGAGGGGTTGCATTTTGCAGTATCAGATGTGCAGGTTTGCTAAGATGATTTTGCGTGACAGGTGCAGCACTTCGTATGACCTGGCATCAATTTTCCCTGGCAGGCGCAGTACTTTAGACAGGTGGACTGGAAAAATCGCAAAACGCATTGGTACGAGGCTGTCAGCTCTGCACTCAACTTTCCATGTTTGAAGGACGTCTCACAGAATTCTTCGTTTTTGATGTCTTGCACTTCGAAAAATGAGGAAGTCTCGCAGAATTGCTTCGTTTCGGATGTTGTCAAGTTCAAAAAATGAAGACGTCTCGCAGAATTGTTCCGTTTTGGACGTTCTTATGTTCAAACATGACGGAAGTCTCGCAGAATTTCTTTGTTTTTGATTTTGCAGATAGATAGATAGATAGATAGATAGGTAGATAGATAGATAGATAGATCGATCGATCGATCGATAGATAGATAGGTAGGTAGGTAGATCGATCGATAGATAGATAGGTAGGTAGATAGATAGATAGCTAGCTAGCTAGCAACCTAGCTAGCTACATAGATAGATAGATAGATAGATAGATAGATAGATAGATAGATAGATAGATAGATAGATAGATAGAGAGAGAGATAGATAGAAAAGATAGATAGATAGATAGATAGATAGATAGATAGATAGACAGATAGACAGATAGATAGAGAGATAGATTGATAGATTGATAGATTGATAGATTGATAGATTGATAGATTGATAGATTGATAGATAGATAGATAGATTGATAGATAGATTGACAGATAGATAGAGAGATAGAGAGATAGATAGATAGATAGATAGATCGATCGATCGATCGATCGATAGCTAGGTAGGTAGATAGATAGATAGATTAGATAGATAGGGAGATAGATAGACAAATAACTAGGAAACTAGACAGCTAGATAGATAGGTAGATAGATAGATAGATAGGGAGATAGATAGACAGACAGACAGATAGATAGGTAGACAGATAGATCAATAGGTAGGTAGGTAGATAATAAGAGAAAGGTAGAGACACAGAGAGAAAAAGAGAGAAAGAGAGAGAAAGAGAGGAGACCTCAAGCACCTTTCAGTCCATCAGTGGCTTCGCTCTGCCATCCCTGATTCACAACAACCAACCTCTCCTATAGGTTTCCAATCTTGAAACTTCCGCCACCGCCTTGTGCGGTACTACTGGTATGAACGTTTTGTTTTAATGCAGCTAAATATTGATGAGCCCAAGCTTTGGAAGCATTTTTCGAAGGAAGTTTAGAAGTCAAACTTCCGACAATATGGACGGATGAAAAGCAGAGCAGGGCAGAGGCAGAGAGAAGAGAAAGATTAGAAGAGAGCAGATCAGAGAAGAAAAAGAGTGAGAAGAAAGAAGATGCAGATGCGCGAAAAGGTGGGAAAGTCGCGAAACACTGTGTTTTTCCAATGATCTGGGGCTCCGGAGGGTCGAAAAGTAGGCTCGCTAAAGCGGCGGGTGCGGAGCCAGCTGGCCAGATGAGAGATGAAAAATTGCACGCCGTTGTGGCGCGAAGCACATTTCGAAGTGAAAATGTACAAAACACACC